ATAAAGGATTGACCAAATTTTTTGATGAAAAGAGAGGAATCAAAGTGACCTTAAGTAAAGCCAAATTGGAGGAGTGCACTGGACAGTTTTGCAAACCATTGTCTGGAGGCCTGTTTTGGACCATAGAGGCTCTTCAGTAGTTTGTAGGCATTCTGACCAGTTGTGATAACCATTCCAGGAGGAAGTTCCATGTATACTTCCTCATGTAAGTCGCCATGGAGGAAGGCGTTATTGACATCGAGTTGATGTAAATGCCAGCTTTTAACAGCAGCAACAGCAAGGATTAAGCGAATGGAAGTAATTTTTGCGACAGGGGAGAAGGTATCAAAAAGATCTAGATCTTCTTGTTGGGTATAACCCTTTGCCACCAGTCGGGCTTTGTGCCTTTCAATGGTTCCATCAGCTCTATGTTTAACATGAAATACCCACTTGCAGCCAATGGTTTTCTTATTTGGAGGGAGAATGACTAACTCCCAGGTCTTGTTTAATTCCAGAGCATGGATTTCATTCTGCATAGCAACCTGCCACTCAGGGAATTTGGTTGCTTGTTTGAAAGTTTTGGGTTCTATGGGAGAGGAGATGGAAGCTAAGAAGGCTTTATGTGATGTAGACAGTTGTGTTGTTGAGATGAAGTGCTGAATAGGATAAGTGGTGCCTGGAATTGAAGAGCAGTTGGAAGAAAGAGAGATATTACTTGCCATTAAGGAGCAACCATAAGAAGTCGATTCCTAGGCTGACATTTGAGCTGAAGAAACTGTACCACAATAGTAATCTTGCAAATGAGCTGGTGTTTGGCGATTTCTGCTTGATTTCCTGACTGGGGGAGAGGCTGCAGTAGGTGATGAATTCTAATCATCATCAGTTGGTGTCTCATTTGATTGGTGATGTGTAGGTGTTGAGATAGGACGAGATGAGGATGTATTATTATTTGGCGATGGTGGATGAGGGTAAGGTGAAGAATCTGTGAAAAGTTCTGGTATAGGAAACAAGAAAGAGTTCTGGTCAGAGGTTGTAGGTATATTCTTGAAAGGGAAAGTGAATTCATGAAATGTAACATTTTTGGAGACAAAAACTCATATCCATGACTTTGTAGCCTTTAGAATCAGATGGGTAGCCTAGGAATAAGCACTTGGTGGCCCTTGAGTCAAATTTTTGTCTGTGACGTGCTAGAGTTGAAGCAAAACATAAACACCCAAAAACTCTTAGGTGTGAAAGATTTGGAGGTTTATCAAATAACATTTCAAAAGGAGATTTATTTTGGAGAAGAGGTGTGGGAATTTTATTTATGATGTGGGCTGCGGTTAGTATACAATCGCTCCAAAAAGGGAGAGGTAGGTTGGCTTGAAATAATAATGCTCTAGAAGTGCATAAAAGATGCTGGTGTTTCCTCTCCACGATTCCATTTTGCTGTGGAGTTTCCACACAGCTCTTCTGATGTAGGATGCCATGTTTGTGGTAGAATTTTGTGAGGCAAACCTCAGGTCCATTATCAGACCGTATGGTTATGACAGAGGTAGAGAAATGATTTTCCACCATTCTACAGAATGTTTTAAGCAAGTGTGAAATATCAGATTTATTTTGCATCATATATACCCATGTACACCTTGTGTAATCATCAACGATAGTAAGAAAGTATTTGAAATTGGAATAAGAGATAATGCTAAAGGGCCCCCAAATATCGCAATGAATTAACTCGAACTTTTTATTAGATTTGTGAGTTGATACAGGAAATGGAAGCTTTCTTTGTTTTGCTAAGGGGCAAATGTCACATATATTTGTACAATTAAGAGAAGGGTCGATTTTCTTGAGATGAAGTAGCCTAGAGTTGAAAACATGTCCCAGTCTGTAGTGCCAAATGTCAGGTTGCTGGTGAGTGATAGCTGATGCTTGTGATGCTGTGTTGAATTTATTGCAGGTTTGGGTTTGAGAAGAAGTTTGGATTATGTGGTACAGTCCTTTCATCCCAATTGTAGTCCCAATCATTTTCTTCGTTAGTTGGTCCTGCATGGTGCAATAAGAATTGGTAAAAGTGAGGCACACATTAGATTGAAAAGTGAGTTTTGACACAGAAATTAAATTGAATGAAAAAGAGGGAACACATAAAACATTGTGCAGAAAGAGAGAATTAAAAAGACATATGGTGCCACTATGAGAGGCTGGAACCTTAACACCATTAGGAAGATATACAAAAGTGCTAA